TTTCCTCCAGCACTTCGTCAACCAAAAACCTGTCAGCAGGCTCAGTCTCTGATTCAACAATTGGATCCCAGGCACGAAAAGGAAGCAGATTTACGACATGAAAAACACCTGCGTCTGCCCCTGTACTCACGTCTATTAGTCTGTAGTTCACTTCTGACAGTTTTTGTGCAATTCGGTAAGGGCCCGCATATAGAGGTGCTAGCTTAGCCGTGAAGTTTGCAAGGGCATCAGAACGGGGATGAGTCTTCACTCTTACCAACTCATTCACTGAGTAAGACACAGAACGACGTCTCTGATCGTAGTACTTCTTTCTCTTGTCATGGCTTTCATTCAAAGTGGACTTAGCATGATCATGTGCTTCTCTGATCGAGGACTCCAAGCTTTCTGGGTATGGAATACCCGGCTCATCTCCACCATCACTGTTCGGCTGAGTGATAAGGTCAAGAGGAGTATTCAATTCTCGTCCATCGAGTAACATGGATGGGCTTTGGCCAGTGCTTTCGTGTGGTGCAGTCCTCAAAGCAAAACAAATTTGGGGCAGGTAACGATCCCAAGCTGTGTGCTTGTTACCAACATAAGCACGGATGGCAGTTTTCAATGTCCGATTCACCCTCTCCGTTGCATTTGTCTGGGGGTGATACGCAGTTGTAAGTCTGTGTTCCGACCCCAGGGTGGTGAGAACATGCCTGAAGAGTTCACTTACAAACGGTGATCCTCTGTCCGAGATCAGGTAATTAGGCACCCCATGTCGTGCAAACACCTCGCTAAGCAACTTGCTGGCAGCCACCTGGGCAGTCGCTTCTCTTACTGCACTAACCTCCACCCACTTCGAAAAATAGTCCACAAAAACCAGTATGTATGCATTACCGCAGGGTGTGCGTGGTAAAGGGCCCACAAAGTCCACTCCAGTATACTCCCAAGGTCTTTGAGGGCGGATGGGAACCATAAACCCAGCAGGTTTCCTCTGGCTTGGTTTTGTGAACTGGCAGACAGTACAGGAGGCGACATACTTCTTAGCGTCAGATGACATTTTCGGCCAGTAAAATCGAAGTTTCAGCCTTGCTATCGTCTTTGTCATACCAAGGTGGCCAGCCATCGGGTGATCGTGATAATATTCCATCAAACTCCTTTTCATAGCCGTAGGTGTGTACAGTTTGAGGCGCTTCATCGGATGGAGATTACAAGCCACTTTGTCATCCACGAAGTACAGGAGTCCATCCTGGATCTCATACTGAGACAACTCCTCAGTGGCCCTCTCATCCTGTCCCTCCAACATCCGCAGAAGCTTTCCAGTCTCTGGGTCATTGAGCTGTAGCTGCCTAATGTGCTCTCGATCCGAAAAAAATAACAGGGGGTAAAGCACGCAGGTCAAGGCCCCAATTATGGCATAGTCAGGGAGAAGTCCAAAGGGTACACTGCCGGAAGTAGCAGGGTTTCGAGAAAGTGCATCAGGCACTCTGTTGCTTGTCCCTGGCTTATGGACAATGTCAAAGTCGAAGTCCTGCAATCTGAGAGACCACCTAGCCAGCCGGCCTGAGAGGTTTGGGCGCGACATAAGCCATCTTAAACTGCTGTGATCAGAGAAGATAGTCACGTGTAGACCCTCAATATAAGGCCTGAAGTGTTCAAGGGCCCAGATGACTGCCAAGCACTCTTTTTTCTGGAGTAGAATAGGGTTTTTCAGACTTATGCAGGGCACGACTAGCATAGGCCACCACAACATCCTGCCATTGCTGTCCTTTTGCATAAGTGCAGCGCCAAGTCCACTATCGCACGCATCCGCATGGATAGAGAAAGGAAGAGAGAAGTCTGGAAATGTCAAAACAGGCGCGGAGGTCAGCTTTTCTTTGAGAAAAATTCATGGCTGTCTGACATTCATCTGACCATACAAAAGGAACATCCGTCCTGGTCAACGCAAAGAGTGGCTCAGCATGGCGGGCATAATCGTAGATGAAACGCCTATAATAGCTGGTCATTCCCAGAAACTGTCTGACTTGTTTCACATTAGCTGGGGTATGGAAGTCCACTACTGCCTTCACTTTTTCCTCATTTGGCAGTATACCATTTGTGGTAATCTTATAACCCAGAAAGGTGAGTTCGCTCCTGCAGAACTGGCACTTTGCAAGCTTAATAGACAGTCCTGCAGATTCCAGCCTGGTAAGAACATCTCTCAGGTCCACAAGGTGCTGCTCGAAAGTAGGCGACGCCACCACAATATCGTCTAAGTATACGGCACATGACTTATAGATGAGACCCGCAAGGACTGTGTTCATAAGTCTCTGGAATGTGGCGGGCGCATTGCACAGTCCAAAAGGTAAGACCCGAAACTGAAATAACCCACAGTGGGAAATGAAAGCAGTCTTTGGTTTGGAGTCCTCCGCCACCGCCACCTGCCAGTAGCCTCTGGCCAAATCAATAGTGGAAATAAAAGTCCCTCTAGCCAGAAAGTCAAGAGATTCATCAATCCTCGGGAGGGGATACGAGTCTTTGACAGTGAGCTTATTCAGTGCACGATAGTCGACACAGAACCTTGGCTCTCCTGAATGTTTTGGGACAATTACTACTGGGGCAGCCCAGGGCCCTGAGGCAGGTTCAATAATTCCATCCTTCAACATGTCCTTGATTTGAGATTCAATGAGTTCCTTTTTAGCAGGAGAAGTGCGGTACGGGGCAAGGTGAACCGGTTTTGCATCACCCGTAACAATTTCGTGCTCCACTAGAGAGGTGCGTCCTAATCGTCCATCAAACAACCCACTGAAGGTTTTTAACATTTCAGTCAATTTGTTTTTCTGCTCATTTGTTAGGGAGGATTCTTCAACCTTCTCAGACAGGGCAGAAGAATCAACATCCAGGCAGGAGAGATCAGGACTAGGTATAGTTAAGTCAGCACCCTCTAATTCCTCAAGGGGCACCGGCTCATCGCCGAGCACTACTGTCCTGGATGGAACATGAATCGAAACTGAAGATCTCAACATAAAATCCATTCCCAAGATAACGGGAGAAGAAAGATTATGGACGACAGCAAAGCGGTGATAGAAACGCTGGCCCATGAAACCCAAAGACAACCAAATGGCACCCAGTGGGCAACAGGATGCTCCATCCGCAAGCTGTACTGGAGGTGCAGACCATGGTTTCAATCGTACGTCCCCCCCAGGAATAGTCTGGACAATTGCTGATCGCACCGCAGAGAGAGAAGCACCAGTGTCAAGAGTTGCATCAAAAACTTGTCCATAAAGATTAACCTTCACTCTGAACAGGGTATTCCAATGGGATGTGGACACAGTATCCTCCACGTGACACAGCTCAGGTTGATCACTCATGGAATCATCAGGTAAGCGAGGCACAACTATCTTCTGGAGGGAGGATTGCCCCGTCTGAACGTCCTCCCTCCCCTGAAGTTTCCCCTCTGGGCAAAGTCTGAGACGACATTTCCTTCACCAGTGGCTTGGTCAGAGCCACGCATCCGTTCCACTTCTGACACTATATTCACTGTATCTCTTGGGAGTTCAGGGGGCTCCATTGGAGACAAACGTGGCTTTCCTCCTGGACTACAATTTGGGCATGTACGAGTGGTGAATCCTGGCAAAGAGCACTTAAAACAGTGAACATCCCTTGAGGGCGTACTGCTAGCTTGTCTCAGAGGAGGACACCCAACACTTGGGCCAAGGACTGCATGAAGCTCATGAGCCCGCAAAAGAAGGTCCATTACTGATGGTATGGGTGTGCCATAAAGAGCGACTCTATATTTCTCAAGCACATGTTTCCGTATCAAGTCTATTTGCTCCAGTTGAGGCGGAGGGGACTTTAGCTTACGAAACTCACCCAACATGTGAGCGACAAAAGTCGGCAGTGGCTCATTAGGCATCTGCATACGGTCCAAAATGCCCCTCAGGATACGTTCTTGATTGTCCGAAGGCAGAAAGACTGTCCTAAAGAACTCACAGAACTGATTCCAAGTGGTTAAATGTGCGCTAAGTGCTGCAAACCATTTTCTTGGCTCCTTTGACAGAAAACGTGGGAGCTCAAGGAGAATTTGGGCATCCGTGAGATCCAAAGAGGTCCTGTATACATTAAGTGACTGAAGCCATTCCTCAGGATTCAGGGAACCATCTGCAGCAAACATTGGTGGCTCAAGACGTGATTGGTGAAGCATAGTAGTAAGTAAATTTGTTGTTGCACTCATATCCACAGTGAGTGGCTGAACAAATGCAGGTACATTACTATAAGGTACATTGACTGGCACTGACCTTGGGGCTGTCGACTTAGACTGTGCCAAACTGTAAGGCGTTGAGCTGGCTTGGGGAGCTGATTGTGGGGTAACAGGTACGGTACACTCTTGATGTGCCAAGCGGTCCATCATGTCTTTTTGTAGGTCGATGGAGTCGCGAAGGCACCGCTGCAGCACTGCCACTTCTGCTTGTAACAGCTTGAATCGAGACCGCAAATCCCCAACATTATCCTGTGACGGCCCCTGTTGTAGAAAACAGTCTGCATCTGTAGGCCAGTCAGTTAGGTCAGACGGAAAGTCAGGGTGAGTAGCCATTATGTGTGAAAACACAACTCAATCAATTAATGTAAATAATAAATTGCAATATAGTAAATTTACACAAATATATGAATCTTGATTTTCACCCTTAACTGCAACCCAAAAATATGTTTACCAACAGTGTAACAGCAATGTGACCAACATTTTTTTTTTTTTTTTAAACCAGCAAAACTGATTGGCACAATAGTCCCAACAAAAATCAACCAAGTGTCCTTGTTGCCAATAGCGATATATTCACGTGCTGGCTTTAAGTGAGCAGACACGCACACAAAAACTAGAAAAAAGAAAAAAACTTGTGTCCCAGACGTGTTTTCTTACACACAATATTCACTTTTCACCGTTCCTCGATGGCATTCGTGCATAAATGTCCGATCAAAAGATACGATTGTCTATTCTTTTTTCCTTTTTTTTTTCTCGATGCAGTACAATATTCAGTTCAATCCAGTTCAATTAATAATCCACAAGGAAAACGTCGAAAAAACATCTCCAAACGTTTATATACTAAAAAAAAATAGTGTCGAAAATAGTATCAGCAATCAGTCGAAACTCACAAAAACACACCAACAGCACCTGATAATCAGTCGCGCACCGACCGCGTGGTGTCCGTAGATAGCAAGCTAGTCAGCAAGGTCGCAGCAATGGGAAACCTCCAGCAACGAAATCCTCATCCAAAAAAAAAGAAAAAAAATTGGAACATCCATGTAGACAAAGTACAAAAGATGACCGGTATGAATCCAGTTGTTCGGGCGCCAATTTGTAACGTCTGCAAGAGTTCTAAATCTGCCCAGATGAAGACAAGGAAAAAAACAGTGGAAACGAACTGGTAACGTTATAGTTCCACGAGTGATTTATTGCGGCCCTTCCCTAGTTAGGCACACTGTTCACATACATGTTGAAAGATGCCAACAGGGAAATTAACACTGCAAAACGTCACAAAAACAAAGTGGAAGCAAAACACAATACAACAAAATAACAGCCAGCGATAGAGCGGTCATCTCTCTTCGAATCGCAAAACCGTCTTCACTCTACTGAGCGTGCGTGCGCGCTCACATTAACAGCACGCATACAATAACGTACGCAATAGACGTAGCTATCTTAAAGGCATATTAACATGTCACCAACACTTCTCAACTTTAGGTGGCCGTTACAACCACAAGACTAGTAATATGCGCTAGCAAAGTAAATAGGTTCAATTTTGATTTCACGGGGACTTTAATCAAGTAGGGTTATTATGCAAAATACAGATTTATTTAGTTTTAAATTAAACCATTGTAATCCTCAAAGTATCCCCCCTTTTTTTTCAAAACGTAACTATGAGGTGATTACGTTTTTTGACGTAAATTTTTGTCTCCTTATTTTGTAACGCCGAATATTATTTTTGTAACGCCGTTACATGTATTCCGTTATTCCGAACCCACTTTATTCTCTTCTAAACCTCCACTGTATGACAGAAACGCAGCTTGTTTTCTTAATGATGCATGTGGAAATTTGGCTGATCCTAATTTGGTTCAGCAAATGAAAATCAATAATTGACGATTTGAGACAAAGGTCTTGTTCAAGGTAATAAGCAGCCGTTTTTCAATGACGCGAATGTATGATATTTCGGACGAAAGTCACAATAATTTACGTGATAACAAAACAACCGGCTGATGTTCACATGATTCAAATGGAAATATTATATATTAAGTTGGGTGACCATCTTAGAGATAATCTTCATATTCATAATGAGAATCATATCATAAATAAAAAATATTAGGGTATCTCATTCAATGCTTTTAGAATCTTTACTTTTTAAAAATGCTTCTGTTTCTGTATTAATAAAATTAACATATTTCATTTACAGTATTGAACAAAAATTGATTAATCGATAATGTAAATAAAATAAGTTCAAAATAAATACATCAAAAAAGTTTGTACCATTTGTGGGTTTGTCTTGATAAAAGAATATATAAAATGAATATATTATTTTATCAAGATGAAATAAAACAAACTATTTTGATTTATTTTCACACTAAATCTGTTTGCTCCATCAATGCTCAATAAAAACATAATTTATTAATCCTCGCTTATTAAAAGATCAACACGGCTGTTAAACCTTCTGCATATTTCTGTCATCCGCACGCTTTTTACTGCACATGCATCATATTTCATATCTGCGCAATCACATGTCGAAACTCTTCAATCTTCACTGAACATGTGTGTCTGCAGCGGGGCATGTTGTCACACTGCCAAAAACAGGCAATTATAGACCGCAAAGTTCAAACAATAAATTAGCATTATGAAACAGAAATATGCACACATTTTCTAGAACCATACAGAACAACATACAGAGAAATCGAGCGTTTAACTCAAAATCCGAGAGATCGTCATTAATCATATTAATCATGCATAATCATATCTGTGGTATCCTAATCATCCTCGTGTTTCAGTGTTAAAGTGTGTGTTAGTCTTACCCGCGCAGAGGGTGTGTGTGCACATGTCCGTCTGTCGCGTGCGTAATAAAGTTGTGAAAACGTTATTTCTTCTGAAAGTGTTCTGAATGGCGCGCATGCGCAGAGCGCTGATCAGTGTTTTATTCATGCTCGCCCGTGTGTGTTTATTTCAGATGCAGTCACTGATTTTGTTTTCTTATGTATTCATATTCTCTTCTCTTTAATGAACGCATGATCCGCTCGTCATCATCAGTGTTTTTTTCTAGTGCAATGATTTATGAGTGACAGCGGGTTGCTTATTTTAATATTTATTAACTCAGATTCAGAATAGCTAATCTGTTTCAAGGCCATAATGAAGATGCTGTATCTCTCTCTCTCTCTCTCTCTCTGTCTGTGTGTTTATGGGGTGCAGGGCTGGTCACCATGGCGACCACAAGCAATGGAGAGGCTGATAAAGGAAGCGTCTCTCTCTCTCTCTCTGTTCTATCAGCAGCAGCGCCTGTGCAGATGTTGTGTTTATCTCTTGTTCTGTGATGATGATGATCTGGATCTGGATCTGCTGGGTTTAGTGTTGTCTGATGGCCTGTGTTTGCGGAGATGACGCGTCGCGTTGCTGTGCGTCGTGTCGTCGCGTTTTTGACGTCGCGCTGATTCTGCCCTGTTCTCACACACTGTGCGCGCGCTGCCTGGCAGAGGGGGCGGGGTCTGGTCGGGGCGGGGGCGTGGTCATGGGCGTGGCCCCCGCCTCTCGTTTAATCTGTGCCGTACTGTGTCCGAACTGTCGTCACAGCGTCGAGCTGCCCTGCTTTGATTGGTCGTCTGCTTTGACCTGTCTGCCCTTTGACCCCACAGTGACCCCTGACCCTAAAGCGAGCGAGGAGACGGGTGAGTGTCCTGCATACTATTTCCGACTATTTCCAGTGTGAAAGCAGTCACTTGAGTCACTTGTTTTTACTGCATAAAAACAGCCCTTAAAACACAGGTTCCCTCAATCTATCTCTTTAAACATTTCATTTTGCTGTCTCTGTCCTCTAGATGGCAGTGTAGATCTTTCTGAAGAGGAAATGGAGAGATCAGTTACAGGTAGGCAGGCCGTTCGTTCTGTACACTACTGCATACTGCACACTACTACACACTGCACACTATACAATGCATACTACTGCACACTGCATTCTGCACACTACACACTGCATACTACTGCATACTGCACACTACACACTGCATATTTCACACTAATGCACACTTCACACTACTGCATACTGTACACTACTACACACTGCATACTGCACACTACTCCATACTGCACACTATACAATGGCATTCTGCACAATACACACTGCATATTTCACACTAATGCACACTTCACACTACTGCACACTACACACTATATTACACCGCTTACTGCACACTACACACTGCAATGCTGCACACTGCATATTTCACACTATGCACACTACACACTATATTACACCGCTTACTGCACACTACACACTGCATACTACTGCATACTGCACACTGCATATTTCAACACTAATGCACACTAGACACTTCTGCAACTACACACTTTATTACACTGCTTACTGCACACTACACACTACAAACTGCACACTGAATAGTGCACACGACACACAGCTTACTTCACACTACATACTGCATAGTGCACACTATACACTGCACAATCACACTGCATTTTGCGCACGATACATTGCATACTACACACTGTATATCGCACACTACATACTGCACACTTCTTTAAGCTTGACGTTGATTAGTCATTGATCATGGCCTACAGGGGGCGGAAAGTCACAATTATGACGTACTATATCAGAAATATGATATGCTAAGATAAAAGAAAGTTTTATCATAAGTTTTACATTTAATTACAACTTTTTTAAGTTATAATTTCAACCTGTCATAAATATAAATAAGAATTTCGACTTAGCTTGTCATAATTTGTACATATTATCATAAATCATGACAATTTATGCTATAATTATGATTTATAAAATCAATCAATTAAAGGATTATTTTTCCTGTGTGGATGTGTAAATGCACTTCCAGTCTTCACTCATATTTCTGTGTAACCGACGTCTGCAGGTCTGGTGTTCACTCTGGATTCGTCGCGCTCTGATTCGCCGCTTCGCCTCTCAGGCTCCGCCCTCTCCGTAAGCATCACGGGTCAGGTGTGCTGTGAGGATGAGCGGAACGACCCGCCTCCACTGCCTCAGGTGTGCGGGAGCGTGAGCGTCTCCAGAGGACAGTATTACTGGGAGATCGACGTCTGCAACAGCGCCCT